TCGAACTATCTCTGGAATGCATTGATCTCCTCGCTCCAGGTCGTGCCTGGTCCCCTGCCCCCTTCATTTCTTTCTCACTTTCTTCTCTTTTTCCCTCTAGTCCTTTCTGTGGGCTGTTTTCTGAATTATAAAAAAAAATCATTTATTAAAATCAAGCCACCTTACCAGTCAAGTCAACTTTTTCTACACTTGAAAGGCACGTGTTGACCAAAGTGCTGCACAATGAAATCAATTCAAATTTAAATATGATTTCTTTCACACTTTATTCTCATTTTCTTTTTCCTTCCAGTACCTTCCAAGGGCTGTTAGGATCATTGATTAAAATATACTGTTTCAATGAACTGGCAATGATTAGATGCCAGTTTCCATGATGATTAGGCTTATTGTCGCTATGGGCTGTGGAAACAAAACTCTGTTCCATTTTTGACATTATTTTTGGCGTAATTCGAAAATGCCGAGAGCCCTTTAAGAGAGCGGACTAATAGAGCTCATCTAAAATCGCTCTGAAAGGTTTTATTAAGAACCTTTTTTGGAGAACCTTTTTTTTGGAGACAAGGTTTTGTTCCAACTCTTACAATCAGTCCCTCTTAAAGCAAGAAACAGAGCCTGAAGGACACACCCGTGCATTTCTACCACCTAGCCTAGTCTTATATTTCAAAAGCTATGCAAGATTTGGCCTTTTTTATTTACCGTGATTACTCAATTTATTGTTGTAATAATCGGTAGATAATTCGATCACTGATACCATCGATAGTGAGAGCCATACTCCCTTCACATTTGTACATGCAGTACAATCAGATATCTATACTTGCTTCATTTGGAAAAGACTGGAAAAGACTGTGTCATCATGCAAGTAAAACAAAAAATTTAAACCTTGTGGTCCATATGTGCACCCTTACTTCAGTTCCTTTTCAGTGGTTACAGAATAACCCATAGTTTCTGGACAATAGGTCCTAAATTGAAATAAAAGAAAAATGAGTGTTGGGTACAAAAGGTTAATTCAGTGTGTCCCAAGTCGGTCTCCCTGAACCCTGTGGTTTGAGACTATGGGAAGATTTTCACGCAGTCAGGAATAGAGGGTACCTTTTCGGGTCCTTGCTTGCTCTGATCAAAGGCTTACCCTCAGGGGCTGTAAAATAACGACCGCGCTGAGTTTTACGAACTTTTGCTGCCGTCATTCTTATCCGCTATGAAGAAGACCCATCTGATGGGGCTGGCTGGAAAAAGCCAGGGAAGATCAACAGATCAACAGACCTTCTCCAGATTAGGAATCAACATGGTGAAACAAGAGGGATTCTACATCTAGTGTCAACCTGGAATTAAACACAAATGAATAACTCAAAATCTACAAAGCTCAAAGTGTGAAATTAAAAGAGATTGTCACAAGTCTAATTATGGAATCAGAGGAGATTTTATACAACTAAAAACCTAAAATTAAGAGAGATTTTGTAAGTTTTAGAGTCAGTAAATCTGATTCAGTTTGAAGGATTTAGTAGACTAGAACTATGTACAGTTGAAACGTCCTAGAACCTCAAATGTACTTGCTGGATCTTTCCTTAACTTTGAAGGAAATCTACTGAACCTAAGTTTTGATCTGACCAGGGTACTACTTTAGTATAGTAGTGCTTTATGTCGTCTAGTGGTGTTGGGTTCTAATGGGGGAGGGAACAAGACCTATCCAGATACCCAGCTGGAGGGCGACCCCCCTGAAACCCCCACCCCATGATCCCCTGAGGTGGGGAATAGATTACCCAGAGTAAAGCCTGGAGAAGGAATGGTGGACATTTGACTCTTGTGACATGGCTAAGCCAGTCACAGTAACAGCTTTCCCCCTCAGTGGTCTTCAAATTGGCCAGATCATCTGGTCGAGCAGACAGTAGGGGGAGGTTATGTTGTTGGCCGGATGATCCTTGAGCTGGCCCCTGGTCGGCCTCTTTGGGGTAACACTTTATGAAACCAATTAAGTTTCAAACTGTTCCAGTTGCTTCAGACCACACAGAAATTATATCACATCCACAGACCTTCTCTTGCTATGCTGCCGCTAAAGTGATAGAAGAAGGTACTGAGGATGACTTGGATCACTGAACATGGTTTTAAAGTAGGATTTTCGTGTTCCAAAAGACACTGATGTCATGTTAGATGAGTTAAAAGTCTGTGACAGACATTTATGTTCTCTTATATTTCTTATTTTTGCCTTAGCCCATCTCTTGTCAAATTCATAAAATTGCTATGAGAATAGAATAATTGTTGATGTTCATCTGGCCTCAATGTTCTCAATGTTTTTTTTTCAGAGCGAGGACTCAGATGATGATGAACCTTGTGCCATCAGTGGTCGCTGGACCTTCCAGAGGGATAGCAAGCGGTGGTCTCGGCTGGATCAGCTGGACCTGGACGTCTTCTCCCCTCCAGCAGGGGATGTCATGTCTGCCCCACCCTTCCTTGCCTCCCAGGATAAGCATCTGCCTGGAGGCCCCTTGTTACGGGAGGGTGTTAGCGCTAGTGCTGAGAGCGTGCTAACTGATCTTAGCGAGCAGCCAGAGGTGGGATCCTTGCACAGTGCTGGAAGTGGTGGCCGTGGAGGCTCGCGTAGCACTACTGTCCCCTCCAGCCCTGCTACCACCACTTCTAATGTTGCTACAGCCTCCACTACCCGTGCTAGCTCAGTTGCTAGCATCTGCTCTTCAGGGACATCTGGAGCTAATGAGGACTCTCTTTCTGAGGGGCTTCCCTCTCCACTGGAACATGGAAGCTTTCCATTTGAGGCCAAAACCATCTCAGGAAGTAGTGGAGGCAGTAAAAGCACGCGTTCAAGAGCCAAGAGCTTCCTAAAGCGTATGGAGAGCCTGCGACTGCGAAGTAGCAGTACAGCTTCAAAACGCAAGAAGAAGGGTACAGCTGGCCAGGGAAGACTGGAGATCAGTGGGCCGGTGTTGAAGGAAGGCTTCGATGAGGACAAGCTGCGTCAGTTAAACTGCGTTGATATTGCTACTCTAGACTGCAATGGGAACCGCAACCGCAGCATCTCTTACTCCACCCAGACAAGCAGTGGAAGCACAGGAAGCAGCCAATCAGAAACCAGCAGCGGCAGTGCCGTGAGTACTCCCAGTCCGGTTACAAGGGCACGGAGCCACAGCACAGCAGCTGGCTCGACCAAGCGGGCTGGGATGTACCTGGAAGGTTTTGACCCCTTCAGCCTGGTTTTGGTGCAGGAAAATAAGAACCTGGACAACCAGAATCGAGGAAGAAGAATAGAACCTAACACGACTGCTGAGAAGAACCAACGAAACCACAAAAGGTTGGAAGAGAGGCACACAGAAGACGAGAGAATGGAGGACAAAAGTGGGGTGATTTACTTCTTCTTGCCTGAAGGTCACAAGCCCGGCACCTTCCCCAAAGCACTTGCCGACGGCAGACCCTGCCATCGGGTTGACAATGCAAACCGCCGGGCACCCCGTCGAGGCTCCTCCACCTCATTAGACAGTCGGTTGAGTTTGTACGACAACGTGCCCTTCCCTGAAATGGCAGATGAGGAGGAGGAGGATGAACCAGAAGGAGAAGAAGAGCCAAAGATGGAAGAGGTGCTTGAACAAGTTAGTGACTTGCAGCGATTGGTCAGCGCTTGGTCAGAATCAGGGCCAGGGGATGAAGAAGAGGAGGAAGAAGAGGAAGGGGACTCTGATTCAGCTCTGGATTCTGCTTCCCCTTGTCCGTCATCCCCGTTGCAAAACCGTTTGGAGGAGGCAGAGAACGGAAGTGACCAGGAGAGTCCGCTAGGTGAACAGGATGACTCACTCAGCGCCAGAGAGAGACGAGATTCTGGTGTGGGTGCATCACTCACTCGTACCAACAGGTTAGATGCTAACACATCTTAGTACAAGCTTTTGCTTCTGTGAAGATATACATCAATAAATTTAAAGTAGAGGAGAAGGAGTTTATGGATAAACGTAGCTCACAAAGACTCGCATAAAATCTCAAAAATCTACAGATTTCTAAAATGTGCAAATTGTTGGTGCTGTGCATCGAGCAAACCCTGTTAGGTTGAGTGTAGCTTTGGATTCGGGACTCAAAACTAAACAAAGTGCATGTAGGCAAAAATAACTCAGGTAAACAAAGCTGGTTGAGGACCAGTTTGCTCAGGAGGTTTAACATTCCAAGCATTTACATGGCCCCTCTTAGAAACATTAAAAATTCTTGGAGGGAGATTGTCAGACCTAATAGTGCCCTTACAAAGCCTTAACTCCAGTAACTGGTAGTGAACTGACTGTTCATTACTACTTTATTAAGCAATAAATAATATTTAATAAAGGTAAAATAACAGACACCTGCAATATTGTGCAAAAGATGTATGATGCCCAAAAGTCCTCAGGAAAGGATGTGCTTTACCCTCTACTGCACACATGAGAGCAATTTTTAAAAAAAATATTCAATTCACTTTTTTGCACAAAGTGGACCTGATTATTAAATTCAAATCGAATATGTTGCTTCTAGGCAACATATTTCTGCAAATTCTCATAACACAAAAATTATATTGAATGTTAAAAAATACATTTAAAAGTGTCCACTAAGAGATAGTATGACCACCTACATGCTTTTTATCGACGTACTCAAATCAATCCCTTTATTGTTAACCCTGTCATTGTCGTTAAACATGTATAATATTATTGTAAAGTCAGGAAAGTGTGTATGTTGCCCTGAGGCAACATTGTGCGACAGAGGGTTATTTCACATATTAAGGCTTAAGAAGTGCATTCCGAGGTAGTTATAATGTCCCCCGATTATGCTTTATAATGTCCCCCTATTAGTTATAATGTCCCCCTATAATGCTTACTTTACCACATCTGTCCATTCTCTCTCTGCTACTTTCCCTGGTTTGCTGTTTCTAGGTGTCTCCTTCATTAAATTCTGGTTTGGTAGTTGCAACTTGTCTCCCTAATGCATACGTCAGTGTAACAAACAGGTGTGTTAGCATCAGTGCATGATTTCCGCATGTCGGGAGATACGCAGAGGTAGAATTCAGGTCTCCTCTTGTAGTTGCCCTTTTCCACTGTTTGCCATAATATGACTGAGGATCATGTAGGATTAGGGCATCGAAATGAAAATAAAGGAGTAGAAAGGAACAGAAATGGGTAAAACGGGAAAAAGAGAGAGTAAGAAAGTGCATGTCAGCACAGCTCTCCTTACATAACCAAGCCTTTGAATGTAGCACTCTCGTCTCTTTGGGATACGGCATCCCAGGGGAATCAGCAGGGATTCCATAAACCCTCCCAGCACACACACACCCTCTATAATGAGATCTTAATTAATCCCACTTGTCTGAAGAGGGTGTGGGTGTGTGTGCGCATGTATCATTTGGTTGAATGTGTGTCCACATTGCTGAGTCCATGCATGCTTAGCTTTTGTACCACTGATAGTACAAGGTGTTAACCTGGGTGTGTAGGAATGTGTTTAAATTTGTTTGTGACTGTATGTCAGCAAATGCGTTTGTGTAATCAGTGCGCGATATTTTATGCAATTTGTGATATTTACAGTAAAAAGAGTTGAGATATTCACCAGTTTTTAACCCTTAGAAGAGTTATTATTGTTAGGGATGCACCAGTCATGGATTCTTACTGGGGCACGGGAACCAAAATTCAAAATGCACCTGGACAAAAACCGAAACTGAAAACTGTTGTATGTACTAAACTTAAAAACTACATGGTAGTAAGGAAAATGCACTTTTATTATTGATGAAATCTGATTTTAATACAAAATTGGACAAAATTGAGCTGACAATAGAGAAATACAGTATACGTTGTGTTACAGAATGTATTATGAAATCCAACGTCCCTGAAAAAAAAGGTACTAAGCAGGTAAAATTGCTGTTCATCAAATGTAAATGTAAACACACCCTCAAAGTTTTTTGAGGTGGTTTTAAGGTCTAAATGTGAACTTTCAACCATTTCAAATGTTTTAAAATAGAAAAGTAAAAAAAAATACCTGGAGACAAGAGAGGCTGTGTGGAGTCAATACAACCTTAAACAAATACAATTACAATGGACTATTGTACAATTACGTTTCCTAACTAAGGGTAGGTTTTCCCCAGTGTTGATCTGCTGCTGCTCAAACTGTTTGAACATGTCTGCACTGACAAAAAAAAAGACGTTTTTAATCCTTGTTTCATATTTTCATGATCATTCAGTAGATTCGTTGTGTTAGATTAGAAATCAGAAAGTGTTTTTTGACCATTTTTGGCCAAAATTTTGGTGCAATTCCCATTTTGATTCCCTTACAGCCAAACTGGTTAATGATGGATTTTATTATTTTTTTAGCAATATTTTAACCCGAAATGTGTAATTGATATTTTTTGGCCAGTATTTAAATTTTATTGAAATGGGATTCATTTCTAGAAATAAAGCTTCAGGCTTTTGTCCCTCAAGAAGTCTAGCATGTCAAATTTTTTCAGGCTTGAACGCTGAATGTTGTGAGCCAGACTGCTCGTTCACATCTATTCTAGTTCCTGTCCATTCTAGTTCACTCTTCCCTGAACTTCCCTGAGTGCATATTTCAGAGTTCCTGTGTGTCTATTTCTGCATTTCACCTGCTGTTCCAGATTGAGAATTGGGATTGAGGTCTGCTGGTTTTGTTGCTGTCCCAGTGTTCCATCACGTCAAACCAGACACCTTACAGTTGTCATCCTGGAATGTGGGAATGACAACACTGTGTTCAGCTCTGACATGAAGCACAAAGTTAGTTTAAGACTGGGCCAAAATGGAAAGGAACTCAAGGCAATTTGATGCTTAACCAAGACTTGGAGAAGAAACCTAGATCCAAGTTTGAGAGTCCATTTTTTCCATTTTGATTGGGGGAAAATGAATCAAGAACGTGTCAAAAATGTTCGGACGTTTTTTTCTTTCTGTTAAAAAGCACATTCACTTTTCATCACTTTGCTTTCAGCACAATTTCTCTGCTTGTTTCCATGAGCTACGAATCAACAATTGAACAAGATGTAAGAACAAGCATTTCAAGGTGTGGGGGGGGGCTAGCTAGGAGGGCTAACTGTATTTGTTGACATGTTGTTTATAGGCCTCAGAAGCTGCGCTGGCCCAGTTTCCAGAGTTCCCATAGGCCGAGTGTGACATCGTCTCTGCTACAGGTGGGCTGCCAGTCTGTCCTGCAAATGAACCTGCTGCAGAAATTCAGCCTGCTGACGCTCACGGCACTGCTGGAGAAACATACACCCACCAACAAACACGGCTTCAGCTGGTGAGTCTGACACAAACACACCCACCTACAAACACAACTTAAGTTGATAAGTTCCAGCACTGGTCAGTGATAGATCCAGGGCATCTTCTCAAACTGTCGCCGATGCAACATCACCAGACAGCTCAACACGCTTGGAGTAGAACACTAACTGCCAATACTGTTACATCAGCTAACAGATGCCTGCAATGGCTTGCATCACACTAAGTGATGGGGGGGAGACCATCCTGCCCACCAAGTGATAGCAAGGTCAGTTATGATCTTTCACAATCCTGGCCATGGATGGCATCGCCAGGGATTGAACTGGACACTGCAAGGTTGATCCAAAATTAGCCCGTCAAAAGCTCTGTGGTCAGAAACGGACCATTGTTGAAGGGCATGTGTAAGACTCCAGTCCTTGCAGGCCCCAGCACTGCAGACTTCAGTGTTCTGCCTCATTGAACACACCTGATTCTCATCAGCTAATTAGCAAGGCTTTCATGAATGTAATTCAGAGCATTAGATGAGGGAACTGGATGTTCAATCCTGGTCCTGGAGATCTACTATCTTATAGAGTTCAGATCCAAGGGTTGAAGCTAAACTCTGCAGGGGGGTCTCTAGAACCAGGATTGGGCACCACTGGGCTACAGGTTGGCTAACACAAACTGTGCATGAACAAATCGGTGTATCTCCACACAGTAGATGGAGTTCAATTCCAACCCCGGGCAACCATGCCGCACCAATAAGAGTCCTTGGACAAGACTCCTAACCCTATATTCGCCTATTTCTGAAACATAATTTAAACTGTAAGTCGCTTTAGATAAGAGTGTGGGCCAAATGCCATGAACTTAAATGCAAACAGATGGTCTACATTCTTTACAGAGACTCTACAGAGTTACAAGGGAGGGGTTTCTAACAAAGCAGCCAAGAAATGTATACTAACCCCAACAAGAGACCACAAAAATGAACAGTATGCTTGGATTCACATTGTGAAAGGCAATCAGCTTAGTATTTTGAAAGCTTTCTTGTGTTTTCATGAAAGAACTGTACATCCTTGTGGTGGCAAAGCTCATACTGATCCACACATTAATGAGTTGAGTTACGAAACCATTACACACCACACTGGGCAGCGGGCTAATGCCTGTTTAGCAAACACCAGCAACAAGTCTAACAGTCTGAGAGACAAACAGCCGGAGTGCGGAAGTTCAAGGCTGTGTGTGTGCGAGTTTGGATCCATTGTCTAATCTCTTTCTGTTTATCCTCTTTCTGAGGGAGGTGGAAACAGATTTCAGCTGCCCTCAGCCTCGAGAAGTTTCCTTTACACGCAGACATAGATACGCACAAGTTTGTTTTTATTAGACGTCAGAACATATGCATGCCTGGTATGTGTTACAGATTAGTGGTGTCAAAGTTAATGTGTTAATAATGTGATAATGTGATAACGTTTGAACCATCCACAGTTTCAGGCTGAAGCCCAGCCGCAGTGCGCAGTTCTGCCACTGTAGCCCTCTTGCTCAAATACAGCATTTTCCATTGATGCCTCTCTTGATAAAAATGATTTATCTTGTGTGACTTGTGGGAAAACTAATAGATAAATCAACAAATGAGCAATCAACAAACAAAACCGACAAAAAAAGTATTATATGCAATAATAATATGTCCCACATGTATTATACGTATGTAAATAACTATGTGCTGGTTTCTCAGATATGGATTTAACCTGGTGTGGGACTAAATTCTGGTGTCAATGGAGAATTACCATTGGGAATTCTTTTCAGTGTAGTCTTAGGCTCAATCTGGGAATCTGGCCCTATATGTGATATGTATTATATATATATATGTATATGTAATTAACTTATGTGCCAGTTTCCAAGACATGGATTAAGCCTATTCTTGGACTAAATTTTTTGTGTAGTAGTGAATTACCATTGGAAATTCGTTTTAGTCTAGCCTCAAGCTTAGTCTGGGTCTGGGAAACTGGCCTTAAATGTAATAATAATATATTCTATATGTGTTATATATACATAAGCATCTACATGTAGTATCAATATGTGCTTTCCGTCAAAATGTCAGGAGCATTTTGCTGGCTCTGTAGGTTAGAACTGTTTTTCTTGGACTGTCCTTCAGTGAGAACATTTTTGTCCTTAAAATGTATTAAAAACCACATACCAGCCTCCTGTAAGCACTCGCACATTCCATTATGAGTCTACATATTTGGCTGCAGCTGTGTTTTTTCATAGCCTTAAATAAGAAAAATGAGCTAAGCACATTGGATATGATTGAGTTATTCAGTAGATTTTGGGCTTCATGTGCTGAAAGCAGTAAATCTCTTCGTATTCATGTTCTTATGACGTCACTCGTTTATTAGTGGACTGTAGTTGAGATCCAGTGCAGAAAACTCAGTGGCCCCACTTGCATAACAGTTAAAGAACGTCACTGGCCTGTGTGCGTGACAGAAAGTCTGTAGGGTCAAATGTAACTCAGAGTCAGTCTCGGTTTTTAACCGATTCTGTATATATAGTGTGTTTTAATATCCATTTCATTCAAAATACTGGTCAGTTTCTGGACATCAGACTACTGGCAGATGGATGTTTTTGGTGTTTGTTTGTCACTTGGGTTACTACAGCAATGGCCTAGCAACGACTTCTGGTATGACACAGAAATGGCCTAGCAACACGTTAGCAGCCACCTGGGATACCATAGCAATGGCCTAGCAACACGTTAACAACCACCTGGGATATAGTAGCAGTGGCCGAGCAACATCTTAGCAACCAGCTGGGACACCATAGCAGCAGCCTAGCAACCACCTGGGATAGCATAGCAGTGGCCCAGCAACATCTTAGCAACCACCTGAGATACCATAGCAATGGCCTAGCAACATCTTAGCAACCATCTGGGATACCATAGCAGCAGCCTAGCAACTACATGGGATAGTATAGCAGTGGCCTAGCAACATCTTAGCAACCACCTGAGATACCATAGCAATGGCCTAGCAACATCTTAGCAACCATCTGGGATACCTTAGCAATGGCCTAGCAACATCTTAGCAACCACCTGAGATACCATAGCAATGGCCTAGCAACATCTTAGCATCCACCTGAGATACCATAGCTGTGGCCTAACAACATCTTAGCAACCACCTGGGATACTTTAGCAATGGCCTAGCAACACCTTAGCAACCACCTGACATACTATAGCAATGATCTAGCAACATCTTAGCATCCACCTGAGATACCATAGCAATTGCCTGGCAACATCTTAGCAACCATCTGAGATACCATAGCAGTGGCCCAGCAACATCTTAGCAACCATCTGAGATACCATAGCAGTGGCCCAGCAACATCTTAGCAACCACCTGATATACCGTAGCAGTGGCCCAACATCTTAGCAACCATTTGCGATACCATAGTAGTGGCCTAGCAACATCTTAGCAACCACCAAGGATACCATAGCAGCAGCCTAGCAACATCTTAGCAACCACCTGGGATATTAGCAACACCGTAGCAACTGGCCTTTGTCAAGCCAACTTAAAGTTCATTCACGTTTTTTTTTTCCCTTCTAGTTTCATGTTTGTGTTTAAGGAATGTCAGGTTATGAACTAAAAAGCTCATTTCAAGTGAATGTAGTGCACTTTTAAAACTCATTTAAGGTACCCAGCTGGACTTTAAGACCATTGTTGACCTTTTACATTGTTTGCGTCTTGCTAAACAAAAATGTACCTTTACAGTACCTTTTTTTCTGACGTTGTAGAATGAGTGTATTATATATGGTCTAGTTTTTAACCAGGGTCCGTTTGCGTGCTTGTGTTTTTTCAGGGCCGTGCCGAAGTTTATGAAGCGGACGAAGGTGCGGGACTTCAAGGACCGGAGTGTATTTGGCGTCCCACTGCAGGTGAACGTTCAGAGGAGTGGTCAGCCCCTCCCACAGGGCATCCAGCAGGCCATGCGCTACCTCCGCAACCACTGCCTGGACCAGGTGCGTGGACATTGTTCACTTTCAAAATGACAGTTTGTGTGAGCGGGACGGGTCATACTGTGGAAAGAACAGTTTATAAATTGCGTAATGCTCATATTTTTAGCTTTTTTGTTTAGTATACAATGCAGGGTTATATAAGTCCACACGCGGAGTTCTCACTGAGTGGTTTAAGTCTCTCTTTCCTGTGTTTGGATTTTCTAAATCCCACAGACCGATCCATCAGCTGGCTGTCAGCACTGAGAGAAGGAAAGAACACTGGTTCATTTTTAGCACTTGAACTCTTTAGTGCGGCTTATAAATTTGAATATTACTCATTATTATTATTATTATTATTATTATATGCAACTTCCAAAATAGGTTCAATTTTCAATAAACATAAAATCAACCAGGAGGAAGGTTTGACTGGAAGTCTTTCAACTTTACATGCAAAAAAGTTGCTTTACTTGAGAAGAGAAAATGCGTTCTTAACTTTTAATGTCCAGTTGTATGCAAAAGGTGCCTCTGGTCAAATGATAGAAGTTAACAGCAGTGGTTCCCAAAACTGGTCCTGGAGGACCCCCTTCCCTGCACATTCTTGGATTTTCCTGCCAAAACACACCCACTTTAATTCAGGAAGGGCCCGTTAAATTAGCGGATTCGTTGGTCAGGTGTGTTGGGAGCACAGTAAACACTAAAATGTGCAGGGCAGGGGGTCCTCCAGGTCCAGACCACTGATCTATAGAAAACACACTCCACATTTTAATGCACAATGATTTTTTTATTTTATTTTATTTTATTTTAACATATTAGAAAAAAAAAATAAAACATAAAATGTTGCTTGTGCGAAGGTTATGGCACTTTTTTTTTGTATTTTTTTTTCTGTATATATAACTCAACAAATAATTCAAAATTGCGCACAAAATTTTGCATAAAAATGCCATATTTTAAGAAAATTTTACTGGGGTGTTCAAACGTTTGTATACAACTGTACGCACATTTTTCACACACTGAGAAATAAGAGTAAAAATCCGAACAAAATATGAACTACATAACTTAAAAATGCTTATAAAGTTCTATACATTGTAAATAAAGATAAAAGTCACAGTGTCAAAAAAAATATGTCTATTTTTTACTGTCAGAGCTTTTCAATTCTAAGATGTTGCCAGCAGCATAAAACATCTTAAATATTTAATATTTAAGTTAAATGCTTAATAGATATATTTAAAGCTATAAACAAATGTTATTTATTTAATTATCATATGTTAATGTAACAAACATTTTGGAGCATCTCTATTGGTCCATTCACTGTGAAATTTTAACACTATGTAAAGAGCAAAGCTGTTGTTTTCCCTGCAACAACTAGATAACAATCAACAATCAATAATAATAATGAATGAAATACTGGAAAATATTGAATAGCAATCATTATGCCTTCTTAATTGCTGCTAATTGCTCATTAAAAAGTTATTTAGTGGATTTTGTGCTCTTGGTAATGCATTTCAGCCAGTCAGGTGTGGTGTTGGTAAGTGGGATCTAAATAGCTCTATTTAGCAGAATGCCAGTGTTTCTATTGAGAGCACTTCCGTCTGTGATGTTACATAGTTTAACTGATTAATTACCATCGTTCCTCTGTAATTTTCCCTCTATCTCCCCGTACAGGTGGGACTTTTCAGGAAATCGGGAGTTAAATCACGGATCCAGGCACTGCGGCAGATGAACGAGTCATGCGGGACAGATGGGTGTGGGGTCAGTTACGAAGGCCAGTCGGCCTATGACGTAGCAGACATGCTAAAGCAGTACTTCAGAGACCTGCCGGAGCCTCTGTTCACCAGCAAGCTCACTGATACATTCCTGCAGATTTATCAATGTAAGAAAATACACACACGCTCATATATATATATATATATATATATATATTATATATATATATCATTTATTTAATTTCCAGTCAAAATGGTTATTAAATATGAGATATTTATTTTTCGGGAGACATTTATGAGGAGTTTAAAGATAAAATAACCCATGTACACAGAAGTTTAAGCTAAAAAAAAATGATACAAAAAAGAGGAAGAGAAAATGGGAATTCCTAACAACCACCTGGAAGACCTGGTAGACACCAAAACTGTCCCCATCAGATAAACAGCACTTAAAGCTTTCATCTCTGAGAGAGAGGAGAAAATCAAGCTGCTTCAGATCTGAAAACATCCACAGGTGTTTCTGTCCATCCTTCCACATTTACATTTATGGCATTTGGCAATCGCTTTTATCCAGAGCGACTTAAAGTTTCATCATTTTACAGGCGAAGGTAGTGTTAGGAGTCTAGCCCAAGGTCTCTTAGTGGTATAGTGTAGGGTGCTTACCCAGGCAGGGGACTGTACCCCAGTCTACAGCGTAGAAAGCAGGGGTGTTACCTACTACTGCATACCAACCACTGAGGAGATAAAAAAGGGGAATGTCTGTTTTGACTGGAAATGAATCAAAGTGCTTTGAATTTTACTGGTATCACACTGCTAAAGTCACCATTCTGTTATTGGAGTAGGGATTCGCGCTACTCTACTCACTTCTGGCTATTTTGTTTGGCACCTAAAACACTAGATGTTTCATAAATGGCACTGACATTCACACACCCACATACTTAAGGTTGTAGACATCAGTAAATGTCCTTGGTATGAACAGTTGTGCAAGAGCGCGAAAGCAAAACAAGCAGACGTATGAGAGGAAATAGCTGTTGGATGACACGTTGGCAGCTACGAATTACTGTCCTACTCACCAATAACCTAGTGTGTGAGCTCACCACACATACATACGCACACACAAACAGTCACTCATACGAGCCAGGGTGTCTCCACTGCGCAGCGACAGCTGTACATCAGCCGCTTAGTCACTAGTGGTTAGATGTTTGTGCATTTCTTCCATATTCACCAGCCATTTCAAGTGGCATGTGGTACATAGAGAAATACATGAGCGAACACAGGTTCCTATTGAAGTTTGATGTTTTGTACTCAGCGGTTAGATCATTCTGTGAGTTTCAAAGGTCACGTCATTCAGAAATGACCAAACCTCCGAGGCTGACAACATGGAAAACAGCTTTTTAACAACAAGCCTTTTCTGTCCAGCTCAAAGACTGTTTCCAAGTGGAGTTCTACTAAAGCCGGCCAACTCCATGTTCATTCCAATATACCAAAGAACATGGCAAAGTCTAAAGGGCGCACACGAGCCTTCAGTGAATACAGCTAAACAGCGAAGAATGCTAATGTGCTAAATATTTGTCTGATCATTCACTCAGGAACTTTCTCTCATTTCGGGAAAGTTGAAGGATATGTTACTTAAAATAATGTATTAAAATGTACTAGTCTCTTTCTGTTCTTCTTCAGTAAATAGGCTTTTGCAAGCAGCATGCTAGCTTCTTAGCTACTTAGTGCTAATTGGTTGGCAAGCTGATTTAGCTCATTGGCTTGGTAAAGCAGTTTACGCTTACTGACATCATCAACATTAGCGCTGTTCTCAGAAGAAAACCTCGTATCTCCAAAATGGTAACTTTACAGGAGAGGGAAAAAACACACTTTACTCTTAATGGAAGTCAATGGAACCAGACTTCTTTTCCAAGTCATTTCGCACCATTTCTTTTAGTCCTTTCTTCATGAAATTTGCGTCCAATGTAAAGGGCAGCAGGCATTTCAAAATTATGTCAAAAACTGAAAAATGACAAAAACGGAGATGCGAGGTTTTCATCTGACAACAGCGATAAACAAGGCAGTATATCAAAAACACGACTGGAGGACGTGTGAGGGAGCCCTTGGAGACTGGAGCTAAAATGCTAATATGCTAAATACGTTTCTAGCCGTTCATTCAGGAGCTTCCTTTCATTTTTAGAAAGCAAATGAATGTACATTAAGGACAATGAAAATTCACTGGTGTCTACATTTTTCGACAGCAAAAAGCTTGGGGCAGTACCATGCTAGCGTTATTGCTACTTTGTGCTAATTAGCATGCTAATTCAGCTCATTTGCTTTGTAAAGCAGGTTACGCTCATTGACATCAATATAAATAATTCAGTTTGCCGAAAACACGACCGCAAAAAGCAAAAAGATACACAGGAGAGCCCTGAGAAATGGCTGTGAATGGAGCTAAACAGCTGTATGCTAACATACAGAGCCTGTATATATTTCTCCTCGTTCACTGGAGTGAAAGGATGTAATTACGTAAAACTTACTCAAAATTTTCTGATATCTTTCCACTTTTCTGCAGCGAATAGGTTTTGGGCAGTTATACTCCATTAGCTAGGCTAGATTTGAGCCATTAGCATTACTGTTGCTACAATAGTGAGCTCTGAATGAATGAAAGGTAGTGAACCTAGTCAGTTAAATAGGCTAATATGCTAAATATGTTTTTAGTCATTGACTCAGGAACTTTTATTATGAGAAAGCAGACAGATGTATTGCATAAAAGTAAACAAAAACTCACTAATATCTACTTTTCTACAGAGAATAGGTTTTGAGTACTAGCACACTAGCAGCTGGCTAGCACTGAGCAGCTAGCATTATTGTTTCTGGGAGCTAATTGGTGCCAAGCAGCTCATGGACTGGACAATATATCATCACCAATATCATCAATATAAACAAAGCACTGTTACAAAGGCCTGTAAGTGATGCTTAAAAATACAACAGGATTTCATGCTATTCCATTGCTGTGAAGCTCCATAGAGCTCCATTCATTTTGGACTCTCTTGAGAGCACTAAGTATTCTCAGCCCATGACAAATCAATACTCCCTAACTAGAACTTCTGTGGTGGTACTAAAGTCGAGATTTATGGGGAAAACAACCCTCTGAAAACATTCTTTCTCAGAATCAGGCGTGTGTATGTATAGCCGACCTCAACGACTGGGGAGGTCTCCGCATTCCTCTTACACAAGGGGGCTTTATGTGTTTGTGTGCACTTGTGGTGCTGTGTCTTTCATTCCCGTAGCCCAACATAACAGACGTCGTATTATTCTTACATAACTGACATTTAGCATTCGCTAGCGTTCTCTTCATAGTTCTTGAGGGCTCCCTTAGGCACGACACCCAGAATGCCATGGGGGACAAGGACCCTTCCAAAATAAGCCTGGACACTGGAGTCTATTCACAAAAACTGACCCCTAAACTGGCCCCAAACATGCTGATATGACTCCTGGCTCAATGAAGTGGGTATGGAAAGAGTGGCACAGTTTTGTAGTGCTAACAATCGGTATAGTTAAAGTGATAGTTTGGTGCAAAATTCCCCACCAGTGTTATCAATTAGCTAGGAGGCTAAATTGTGCTTCTTTAGTTTTGCACTGGAGCTATAAGGCTAATATTGCTAACAAATAATGGATGCTTGTACCTGTATGATCCATGTTTATGGATAGCAGTGCATCGGAAACCGCATAAATGAGTCTATTAGAGAGAACATCTCAATACTGGTGCACTGAACATCTCAACACTGGTGCAGTTAGCATCATGCTAAGTGGTGGCATATAAGCTTCCATTACTCATTTGCTACAATGCAAAACTAAAGAAGCAAACTTCAGACACCAAACTTGTCTTGGGTGATCAACTACATTTGAGGTAGAGGGGTAAATTTCATTTTTTACTAGACTCTTATTGCTGCCCAAACCTAGCATTGTGGGGTCAGACGTGGTCTTAAAACGAGAATGCGTGTTTGGGGACAACTTGTTAAACTTTTGGTGCTGGATTTACAGCAGAATCCACTGCTAACAAGAGTTTGTCCTCTCTAAAACCTTCCTTCAAATACTTCTGGTCCATTGTCTTTTATCGTCTCAAATACAATTGAAACACTATTATTAGCTAATAACATCGATACCACAAAAGCACTAAAGTACTTACTAATTCAGGAGAACAGAGATTTCTTAGCTTATTCCCCAACAGAACGTGGCCAAAGATCAGTTTTCCAAGCCTGGCCAGCTACTTACAACAATGTTTACAACACAAAAATCGATGGTTTTTACTGCATGTGACGTGTTTGGGCTAAATGTGGGTAGGAATGTAGACTTATTAGACTAATTGGAACTTTTAATGCCAACTTACATTACATCCATGAGCCAACGATGACATCCCCTGCTGTGAGCTAAAGTGTGAGACTGGTTTAGGAATTGCGGTCCCACTTTACGTTAAGTGTCTCTAATAACTGTGTAGTTACACATGAATAACATATGCAACAACAATGTAACTACTGATGATTTAGTCAGTGTTACAGATGGATTACAGAACTACAGCCTATGCAATTACACATGTGCATCAACTTATTTTGCCTCATGTAATTAAACAAGTGTATGTTATACACAGGATATTTCCTGTAGCGTAGTGTTAAAGTTACACTTTAAAATAAGTGGACAGTTACTGTGTAGTTGCCATGTAGGTACTGTGTAATAATGGAGTTGTAATATAGCCATTGCGTTGAGGGTAATGTAACACATTTAATTAATGTTACAAAAGTTATGTTTTAAGATAAGGGGACACTTTCTGTTAAAGTATGATTACAAATGTAATCACATTTATGTTATTACCCGTGTGTAATTACAAGAGAGAGAATAAGCTGTTACAACTATCAAGATACACTTGTGTAATTACACGAGGCAAAACTGAAATTGATACACGTGTAATTACATAGGCTGTAGTTCTGCAATCCCTCTGTAACAGTGACTAAATCATCAGTAGTTTCAATGTTGTTGCATATGTTATTCACAAGTAACTACACAGTTATTAAAGACACTTAATATAAAGTGGGACTGGAATTGCACATTTTGTTTGTTTCCACCATAATAAGTCTACGTTCCCACCAACACTAAGCCCAAATTTGTGATGTTCTGATTACGGGATCACGTCTGATGCCACAATACTAGCCAAAGCTATTAAAGGATTTAATGCTCAGTACAAATAGTGATTATAGTGTAATATATAACGTCATTTTTTCACTTTCTGCCTCTCAGACATGCCTGAAGATCAGCGTCTGCAGGCAGTTCGTGCTGCGGTGTTGTTATTACCTGACGAAAACCGTGAGACGCTGCAGACTCTGCTGTGCTTCCTCAGTGACGTCACGGCGAACGTGAGAGAGAACCAGATGACCTGTAGGAACCTGGCGGTGTGCCTTGCTCCCTCACTCTTTCACCTCAACACGGTCAAGAGAGACGATTCCTCCCCCAGGTGTGTGCTGATGAATGCATGTGTTCATGGTTTTATGAATCTGCACCTAAACTTGCCTCAGATCAGAACTTTTTTCCTCTTTAACCATTACGAATCCAGAGTTATTGTTGTTTTGCTATGCTATTGCATAGTTATGTCATGAATTATGGTTACATTTGGTTTGCATGCTGTATTGACAAGTCTTTGCTTGCAATGACTGTGACTTCTAAATGTTTAAAACCGTGTCATTGTATAGACATTTGAGGTAAAGTCGTATATGTCTGTGTTTCAGAGTAATGAGCAGGAAGAATGCGCTGGGTAAGCCTGACCAAAGAGACCTGAACGAAAACTTAGCAGCAACAGGCGGCCTGGAACACATGATTCAGGAGTGCAGGACGCTGTTCCAGGTACATAAAAACCACAGACATACACATGCGCAATAAACACTAACACTATACCTGTGTCGTACCGGTGACAGTTAACCGAGGCACAGCTGTTGAGTTGCACTGGTTGAACACACAGTAGCACCGATATTATACCTGTACAAAAAGCTCCTTGTGTAATTACGTACAGTTTAGAACGTCCTCGGATCACAGCGTCAGGTTTCAGACAGAAAAAACTTACTTTGGGTCTCAGGATTGTGCATAAGACAAAATGGCCTTGGACAAAAAAGCATCTGGTGAAACTGCCTCAGACACAAATGCATCAGGTAAAATAGCCTCGGACAAAAAGATATCAGGTAGAATGGCTATAGTCAAAAAGGCATCAGGTCAAACAGACTTGGACAAAAAGGCATCAGGAGAAACTGCCTCAAAAAGACATCAGGCCAAATTACTTCCACAGCTTCTTACAAGGAAGCATCAGGCGAGATGGCCTCAGACAAAAAAGCATCAGGCACACGGCCTCAGACTAAAGGGCATCAGGTGAAACTGCCTAAGACAAAAAGGCATCAGGCAGAACTGTCTCAAACAAAAAGGCATCAGGCAAAATTACCTCAGACTGAAAGGCATCAGGTGAAACTGCCTCTACAAAGGCATCAGGTGAAACTGCCTCTGACAAAGCCATCAGGTGAAACCACTTCAGACAAAAAGGCATCAGGCAAACAGCCTCAGACTAGAAGGCATCAGGTGAAAGTGCTTCTACAAAGGCATCAGGTAAAACTGCCTCTGACAAAGCCATCAGGTGAAACTGCCTCTGTTAAAGGCATCAGGTGAAACTGCCTCAAACAAAATGGCATCAGGCAAAACTGCCTCACACAAAAAGGCATCAGGCAAAACAAAAAACCTGACAAAAGCATCAGGTGAAACTGTCTCAGACAAAAAAGCCAACAGGCATTACTGCCTCTGAAAAAGGCATCAGGTAAAAGTGCCTCAGACACACAGGCATCAGACAAAGCTGCCTCTGATGAAGGCATCAGGTGAAACTTCCTCCAACCAAGGCATTAGGTGAAACTGCCTCTGACAAAGGCATCAGGTGAAACTGCCTCAGACAAACAGGAGGAAAATATGTAAATGCTTTAATAAAAAGGTTGTAAACAAAAAACAACTAATTTATTGAAGGACAGAATAGCAAAACCAAGTATTGGACAAACAATACCGGTCTTCCTCAAGGAGAGGTTTGGATATGGTTCAGTGAAAACAGTGCCGTATTAAATCACTACTTATTGTATTTATCCTAATATTATTGTTTTTATGAGCAAATAAACATTTACTGTCCAGAGGAGAAGCTTTTTAAGTGTAAATTCTCAGGACTTTTGCGTTGTACTGTACATACCCACCCTTTCCACAAAGCACAGCGAACCTTTTTGCTATCCACATATGAATGTTATTATGTAGAGACACAGTCACTGTGGGCCAAAGCAAACCAACAAAGGCATTTCCAAAATGTTCTTAGGGGCTTCAGATGTTTAAAACCAAGTTTGGAAAGCTGTCCATCTGATCTTTTATTCTTATGTAATGGACACACATTCATACACACCCACACACAGAAAACCAATTGGTTCCCCCTGCTTTAACCTTTAGTCCTCAGTGGCGTAAACCCACCGTAGCCAGGCAGGAATATTTTATCCACGGTTACGTAAGGTCGCAACCTTGTCTGAGGATACAGCAGAGACCTTGGAAGCCTGTTCTCGCGCACACACACACACTCACACACACACACACACACACACACACACACACACACACTCACAGTTACTTCAACATACCTCTCCTGCCTTTAGAATGTAAGTGCTTCATTGGATAAGTGCAAAATAATGAAAGTCAGCAGAAGTCAAACAACATCTTAAATCAAATTTGGGAGCCGACTCAAATCAAGGCTGACAACGCACCATTATGTTTTAATACAAAGACACACACATGCATTTGTTTTTATCCACTGTCAGGACGTGGGGTCTATTATATCTGTATTATATATCTGTAAGTACATGTAAGCAATAACGATATGCCTCCTATGTGCCGTTCACAAGTTAGATTAGCTCTGTTTTTCGATTTCCCTACAATTAGCACATTTTTATCCAGGAAATACATGAAAACAAACACATAAACACACTGATTATACTCATTATATGCCTCCTTTTCCTCTGTAGACTCTAATGGACTCCATCATTGGGTTAAGCCGAGCCACTCCAGTCCCACGCTGAGAAAATAATTTCATATTTTCCGGCGATTTCCGTGGCGAAGGGCTAATTATAGTCGGCCAGCAGCTCCAAAATAAGTTACTGCATGGTAGCATCTTTAATCTGACCCCTGTACCGGTCATTAGGGGACGTAGGAGGGCTGATGTTTTTGCCGAGCGGAGATAACAGATTTATCTGTGCTAATGCATGAGAAGGAGAATGGTGGGGAAACAAGAGTGAACAGGAAAGGGCTCTAAAGAATGACAGGACACACACACATGCACACACACACAAACACACCAGCGCACGCAACGAGGAAATGAACAGGATACACACACACACAATCACACACTCGCACTTCCACACAAACAGGATGAGCTCCAGCTGCTCCTTACTGAATCTCCACCACTCAACTGAGTTTAGAACTGTTTAGCACTTAATTCTATAGCTGTAACAGGCTCCGCCCACAAAGAAGTTTGCAGTAATTCCTTTTAACCAGAGACATTATAAAGGAGGAGACTGGTCACTGGTTAAAATATGAAAGGGACGCTTGTAATGCAAAACGTGTTTGCAGAGAAAGTCCTGCCCTTCAAGAAAAGAACCAGCTTGCTGGTGCAACGATCTGTGCGGAGAACTGTTGACAATATTGTGGTGTGTGCAGCGAAAATCGCAAGGAGATCTGCACAAAAAAATCACATTTTTGTGCGTAATTAAGACAAACGCTACAAAATATTAATGACGTTTTTGTCAGATTTTACTGGTGATTTCAAATAAATATTTTAAATGGTAATTTGACCTTCAGTTTTGAGTATTTTGGTCTCTCCCCATCCAAAAAAGAAGAGTCTGGTCTTGTATGGCTCTGAATAACTGCCCAGTGGTGCTGCAAAGATGGCCACCAAGTGAGCAGACATTCGTGAAAAGACTATGTTTCAACCTAATGAGAAACTGTAGAACAGACTGAGTTTATATCACAATACCTACATTTAGAGTCAGTTATTCATTCAGCGTAATGAGAAACTGTAGAACAGACTCGGTGTATATCACAATACCTACATTTAGAGTCAGTTATTCATTCAACCTAATGAGAAACTGTAGAACAGACTCGGTTTATATCACAATACCTACATTTAGAGTCAGTTATTCATTCAGCCTAATGAGGAACTGTAGAACAGACTCAGTTTATATCACAATACCTACATTTACAACTAGTCACAGACAATTTTAGTTGTAATTATTATTAATAATAATATCTTTATCTCTCTTTCGCTCCCAGGTACCGGAGGAGATGTCCTGTTGCAGGAACTCATACGTGGACCAGGCTCTGAGTCCAGTGCGGATGGACGAGCTGCTGGACGGCTACAGAAGCTTCATTAAGGAGAGCATGGAGGCGCTGCTGAAAGAAGCCAAGGACAGGTTCCGAGGATACGACAGCTGCGGCACTCCTGAACACGCTGAACTGGCCTGCAGAAAGGTACACCAATAAGTTGGTTCCTTATTTGTGGTTCTTTCTTAACCCTTAGAAGTCAACGATAACAAAAGCAGGTGATGCCACAGACATCCGTAACCAGGGGTCCAAGAGAATATAACTGCCCTCACTCTTTCCGGGTGGGTAGGATGGTCCTCCCTCTCCCCTATCATTCAGCATGAGGCTAGCCAAGGTGGGCGTCTGTTAGCTGAGGCAACAAGATTAGCAGTTAGTGTTCTCCTCCAAGCGTGTTGAGCTGTCCAGTGACATTGCGTTAGCAGCAGTTTGAAAAGCGTCCTGCATCTCGGAGGAAGCTCTTGCTAGCCCTTACCCTCCCAGCATAGTGGCACCATGCAATATGACTAGTACTAAGTAAACTTAATATAACCTATTAAAAGAAATGCAAGTGCATACATATTAGGCTGTACTGAATCTGTTGATGGTGTTGTTCCTCACAGGTAAACGATGGCCGGACTCTGCGGCAGTGGAAGGTGTGCGTGGAGGTGGCGGCGCCGCCGGAGGACGTCTTGCAGCGGATCCTCCGCGAGCAGGGCCGCTGGGATGAGGACCTGTTAGAGAGCAGGGTGGTGGAGACCCTCGACAGTTCCTCTGAGGTTTACCAATATGTCCGAAATAACATGGCTCCACACCCACCCACAGACTACGTGGTGCTCAGGTGAGACGAACCGACAGTAAGGTGGTCTTATTAGCCATCGTATGCAGGATGTGACAACATGGTCTTTGAGGAAGACTTTAAACGCATGACACTCTTTAGATGTCTAGTTCCTATCACCAACACTGTGAACAATGTTGGATTGAGTCTCTTCTTAAGATTTTTACAGATTACAGATTTAAGATTTTTTGTATAGTCATGACAGTTGTTTAATACAGTCATTACAGCTATAGAGCCATCTAGTGGTGGCTGGTGATAATGCAACATAGATTTAATGTAATATGTAATATACATGTGCATACACTGGGGTCATGACAGTTGTCTGGTACAATTATTACAGCTACACTGCCATCTAGTGGTGGCTAAAGGTAACATACAGTCATGTGCAAAAGTATGGGTGTCCCTTGTCAGGTGAGAATAAGACAACACATTCTCTACAAAGAAGAGACGTCTGCAAATTTTAGTACACAACTACTGTTTATCTGCTGAACATGCTTTACTGGGAACAAAATAAAACGTGTAAAATTTATGGCCCCTTTTTTTTATGTTTTACTCTACAAATAAAAAGAAAAAGGTACAGCAAAATTTGCAAAAAATACCAACAGAGTGTTCGCTGTTGAGGATGTGTTAACTTATTTTCAATTAGAAAATCAAACATGTGATTTGACTGGAGGTGTTCCAACTTTTGGTCTTTAGCCATTCTTGTTTAATGTTTTATATTAAATCACAGTGCTGGCTAAAATAGGTATTTTTGATTATTCATTTTTTAATTCCAGAAATATTTGCCGTTGAAGTCACTTAGCCAAAATTTGCCATGGCCTTCTTCACAGCCTTTGTTGATATCAGTTTTTTACATTGAGTGGGTTTTAACCCTTTCCACACTCCTTATGTACCACACCTGAGTTGATGAATCTGAATGGGGGGAATCGGGTGGTTCTGGTTAGAGCTACAACATGCTTTTGTTGTAGTCAACAATACCTGTGAGTTCTTAGGGTTAACGGTGTGTGTGTTGTAGGTCGTGGGTGACGGACCTTTCTAAAGGTGCGTGTGCACTGGTGGGTGTGTCAGTGGATCACGAGGCTGCAGCGGTGCTGGGTGTGCGTGCCAACCTGCTAACATCACGCTACTACATTGAACCCTGTGGGACCAATAAGAGCCGCCTCACATACATCTCCAGAGCGGACTGCAGGTAATACCCAATAAAAAACATAATAAAATAAATACACATTCATTCCAAACTTGATGGCTGCAACACGTTCAAAAAACTCCGTAACCATACGGGGTCTTTATTGTCATAGCTCACAATTAACTTGTTTTCAAGAGTAGACTGGTTTGGATTGCACGCAGGTCACTCGCTGATTATGCAGCCATGCTGTTGCAATGTAGGCACGATGTGGCTTGGTGCTGCCATGTTAAAATAAGTATGAAAGCCTCTGAAAAAGACGGCATATAAAAGGCAGCACATGTTGCTCCAAAATTTGTTCAGTGTTAATGGTGCCTTCACAGATGTGCAGGTTACTCACTAACACAACTCCCATACCATGACAGACAATGGCTTTTGAACTATATACTGGTAACAATCTGGATAGACCTTTTCTTCTTCGGCCCAGAGAACACAACGTCCATTATTTCCATTAATGACCTGAATGGTTGACTCACCACTATACACATTCTCAGATAAGCTTGAGCCCAGAGAAGTCGGCGGCGTTTCTAGATGTTGTTGACAATGGCCGTCTTGTCTTGCAGTTGTGGACACAAACAATGTTTATTGAGAGCGGTTTGTCAAAGTTTGTCAAAGTATCCCTGAGCCCATCACAGAAGCAGGCCAATTTTAATGCAGTGCTGCCTTTATTTGCATTTTATATGCTGTCCCAATGTTTTGCAGTTGAGATTTGAATGCACACAAAATAATACTTATTTCTTCCTCTTTCTCCTTCCTCCAGGGGGCGCTGCCCAGAGTGGTACAACAAGCTGTATGGCCATCTGTGCGTCTCTGAACTGGTGCGAATACGAGACTCTTTCACATGCCCACTGGACAAATGAACACACGCACACTTGGAACGTCATGTTTTTCCTTTTGGAGGACTCTAATGTGGGGAGGGAGAGGAAGATGATGAAGATAAAGCAGACAGTGACTGCACGCTGATTCAGCAAAAGCTAGAAAAGGACACGCCTGCTAATATGACATCATAATCAATGTTGTCATGGACCAGTGACCTTACTTACAATGGTGTCACAGAGAGGGACTTGAACTTGGGGGTGCTACTGCTTCTGAGAAGCAAGAAGATATGAGTGTGTGTTTGTGTGTGTGTTTGTGTGTGTGTGTGTGTGTGTGAGAGAGAGGGAATAAGAAAAAGAGAGAGAGAGAGATACGGTGGGGTCCAGAAGTCTAAAATCACTAGTCAAAATACTCCTATTTTGCAATCTTCTCAAAGTTAATAAGGTTTTCATTTCAAATTATATTACCATCAAAATATATATCATTAGAATATCAATAGAATACTATCAGGAATTTCGGAATTTCTTGGTATTTTCTTTGTACTGCTTTTGTTTTAATGTTAGCTTGTACTCTAGCTGGCATTCCCGCTGCATGGCATTACTTCTGTGCCAAAGACTGCGCTTGAGAGTCTGCGCTTGAAAGGCCTTAACATTATCAAATTCACGAAGTTGCTTAAATTTGTATAATGATCTAATATATAATCTGATTTTGGCACAAATAGTGCCAAACCTTGAATACCCTTTCTTAATTAACAAAGTCCCCGGCTCGTGGCCTAGTCAAATTCCACTTCTGCGGTGAAAAGTGTCCCGACTTGGGGCCTAGTCAAATTCTAGTACCCCGATGAAAGGTGTCCTGGCTCACAGCGTAGTCTATCTCATTTAAATGCATCTTGGCTCGTGGCCTGGTTAATTTACACTATTGCAGTGAAAAGTGTCCCAACTCACAGCCTAGTCAAATTCTAGTGTCCTGGCTCAAGGCCCAGTCAGACTCGCTTACCGCAATAAAATATGTCCCGGTTTGTGGCCCAGTCAAACTCCTCTATGACGGCGAACAGTGTCCTGGTTCATAGCCGACAGAAAGCAACTGGGCTTGTGGCCAGGTTAAACTCCGCTACAGAGGGCGAAAACTGTTCTGGCTAATGGCCCAGTCAAATTTCGCTACCGCAGTAAAAAGTGTTCTGGCTAGTGGGCTAGTTTCCCCGGCAAGTTGGAAAAATTTAAAATGAAAGAAAAATTACAGACAGTCAACGATACAAAAACAAGCAAACTCAGGGAGAAAAAAAAAAAACTTTTAATTCAAATTGTTATCCTGGTAATAAAATTTGTAATGAAAAACTTTGTATTAAATTATAAAAGAATGCAAAGGATAGCATTTTTACTGGTCTCAGACTTTTTGGACCCCACTGTATATATATATATATACACAAGTTGTCTGGATATTGTGGACAAATGTGATGTATTCCATGCACTGGCACCCTACTGCAAAATAGTATGTACGCTTATACCAATGTGTTTGTGTGAGAGAGAAAGAGTGAGACTGTTGAGTTTGAATGTGTGTATTGTCATTAGCCAGTCATGTCTGTGTCTGCATGGTTATTTACAGCTCTTTCACCATATCTGCTCACGAACGGATGGAAGGATGGATGAATAGGTGTATGGAGGTTTCTAGATAAATGCACAGAAGAAAGAAACAGGTGTAAGAAATGGAAGGCGGTGGCTGGAACACCTTGAGTGAGGAATACGAGCGGGAAAAGAAGGAAGATTAGTGTTTGTAGGCCACGAGCAAAAAGTAGGCTACAGCAGTTGCCTAGAACGGAGACCAACGTAGTTATGGACCAAAACGTGCCCAAAAGGACACAAACGCAGAGCTTTCAGATGGTTCTGACCACATCTCTTTAACAATAAACTACGTGGAGGGGAGGAGTAAATGACCGAGGAACTAAGAGGGAACAGGTTAAAGTCTGAGAGAAAACAGAAAGGGCCCTTTTTTGCTGTCCTAATGTAACCGACGGGAGAGGATGTTCGAGTTCAAAGGAATATTTAGCTGAAAATTTAACAAAGTTTTCACTCTTACCCCAAAAGTAGTCGATCAGCTGAAGTATGTTAGGTGTTATAACTTTGCATAACGCTAATGTAGCTAACAAGTAAATCATAAAGCTAAAAATAGTAGCAGCAGTCATCTTGACATCTGAGTTTTGATCGAGATTGAGATTTTCTGGTTTAATGATGAGAAAACCCACCTTCAGATCATGTATCTTGAAGGTGGGATGGACCTTTGGGAAAGCTAACTGGGCTAATTCAGAAGAATAGCTAATAGTGCTGTTAAGGAGCCAAATGTCAAGTCTGCATTATTTGCCTCTACATCAGTGCACTCCTTTATTGCCATTGGGGGGATGCCGAGTCATCGTGTAACCTTCTAGTACAGTGCATGCTGGGCATTGTATTGAAAGAAAATTGGTGGACGATAAAAGGACAAGCCTGTCAAACTCAGGAGGCTAAGAAATCCAGTGTTGCACTGAGTAACACAACAAATAACTGCTAATTGATAGTGTATTTGCTTCCATCACTTGTTAGCTACCTTAGCATTATATCTGCAGTGCAAAACCAAAGACTTCAGACACAAATTCTGGGGTAAGAGAAGATTTTTTGCTCATGTATTCCTTCATGGGATGGAAACTGATTTGTTTTTCCCTGTTTGACAGTGTTAACCAGAAATGAAGTAAAACTCTAAAATGATAACTTTTAAAAAAAAACGCTTTCCTTCATGCTCATACACTGACCTCAGAGTAAGAGCGCTGACGTCGTTCAAAGCTGGTCCCGAATCAGCGCTCCTGCTTTCGAACGCTTTCCAAACGCAGCATACTTCGCAGTAAAAAACGTCCAGCTAACATAGTCCTGTGCCGTAAATGCGTGTGTGTACATTAAGATAACGCATGACAATGAAAGTTAATTTAAAGCTTTGTGTATTTAAAGCACAGATATATTGTTCCTTTTTTATCTATCTTATTTTATTGTAAATGTTACCCCTTTTAAGTTACAGAAATGAGAAGAATGTTTTATCTTTTTTATTATTAATATTATTTCTGTACAGATTAATCACAAAGTGCACTATTAAATGTATTAAAAATAAATAAATACATGAATGAATTCATGTTTTTTTTTATTATTATTTATTTTTATTCTGTTTCAGTGAGGCTTAAATTCTGTGGTGAGTACATTCATGTCCTCCCACGAATCTCTAGTCTTTTGCAGTGCTTCCCAAACTGGTCGTTAGGGTCCACCAGATGATTGAAGTACACTGAACTCGTTGTCATACACCTGGAACCATTTTGAGATGACTTGTGCTTTGTGACAAGACATATCACATGGTCAGCAACAATACACTGGTAGTCTGTCACGTTTTGCTGATGACTGTCCAGGTCTAGTGGATTTATCAGACCAGGTGACATTCTCCAAATCTTCTTCCGCCCAGTTTGGGTAAGCTTCTGCTCACTGTAGCCCCAGGAATGGAACCCAGTGTGGTCTTCTGCTGTTGTAGCCCATCCACCTCAAAGTTTGACATGTTCAGACATGATCACTACTGTTGTAAAGAGTGGATATTTGAGCTACTGTAGTCTTCTCATCAGCTTGAATAAGTCCTTTTCCACCGACTTCTCTCATAAACAAGGCACTTCAGCCCACAGAACTGTCACTCCGTAAACTCCGGAGACTGTTGAGCATGAAAATCCCAGATCATCAGTATATGAAATACCCAAACCACCCAGTCTGGCCCCAAAAACCATGTCTTGGTTGAAGCCATTTTTCCCCCATTCTGATGCTTGATGAGAACATGAACTGAAGCTCTGGACCCATGTCTGCATGACCTTATGCACTGTGCTGCTGCCATATGTTTGGCTGATTGGACCACTGCTCTCGTTAATTCGTACACTTCTACTAAAACAGTGGTTCTCAAACTGGTCCTCAGGCTCCCCCAGACAGTCCACATTTTTGCTCTTTCCTTGGAGAGTTGGATTTAGTGTTAAAGAGCTGGGTTGGAGCAAAAATGTGGACCATCAAGGAGGCCTTGAGGATGGGTTTGAGAATTGCCACCCTAGAAATAGAAGGAAAAGAAACTCTTATTTGAAAAAGATTTTTTTTACTTTTTATTTTTTTCTACATAATACATTACTTTGTTTGAGGTGTTCCCAGAGGTAAGACGTTCTCTAAATAAGATGTCAATCTGATTAACTGCTTATGAGCATAACTAAGTCATATCTAAAACCAGGGTCAGCCTTTCTGAAAATTCAGTTTGTGAGAAAAAAACCCTTGGACTTTTCTCACTTTTATGAAAATATCAGCTCTATTAGATAAACAACCACTATCTCATAGATGGCTTAACTATTTTGTGTCAGACTCTTCTCACCCCAGGTCACATTATTTTTATAGATGCTTTTCTTATTTATCTCAAGAAGCTTGGTGCTTCTTTTCCACTGCAAAATGTATCAGAACCTTTGGCACCAGAAAACTGGACATGTGCTTTTTCAATTTCCCTTTGAACAGTCCGGCATCTTAAAGGATACAGCACGCTGCCGTTGGGGGCAGGAAAAATATTAATAAACCATTTATCTCCCCTTTGAAGCCTTGATGAGTGAAAGTTGAAACCAGCTAGAGGTCGGGAATGACATCATAATCCATTGTCCACTCTATATCCACCAGGCACATGTTCATGTGCTCTGGCTCAGTTGGCAAAACCCATTGAGAACACTGGCTGAATCTCAAATAGCTCCCTATTCCCTACATGGTGCACTGTGTAAGTCATGAAATGATGACTTCTACACCCTACATAGTGCACTAAATATTAGACAGGCAGTTGTTTAACTTAGCTGAAAATAAATGGCTATTCACTAGACACACAATGTACCATTTGGGTGTAGAATCCTTTGTATCCTATGTAGTGCACTACATAGGGAGCAGGGAGCCATTTGAGATTCAGACACTGGCTCTCATTTATCAAAGCTGGGAGCAGACTGGAGCGCTGATTCATCAGAATAAGGGAGGACAATGCACCCTAATTTATGCAAGAGTGAGCAAATCAAAGGAAAGCGTTCAGCAGATTCATGAGCGATGTTTGCATCATCATGATTAAATTATGCAGAAAATTTGAAAAAATTGGTGGAAATCCCCTTTCAGATGGTTCTGGTTGATAGTTGGCTAGAGGAAGTAAAAAATATTGCTTTGTGAGAGAGGTGGTGGATCAAAACAACAAGACTTTGTGCACATTAACAAACTTTTAGGAGCAACTTTTACGATTAGGTTAAACTCAAACAGCTGAGATGAACAAACTGGAGGAAAAACATCACCAGAAAACTTAAAAAGACACCCAAACAGTCCTAGATGAGAAAGAACACTGCAGACAGGATAAATATGAACAAACTGTTTATCTTACCTTTGAAGCATTGATTTGTAAAGGATTATACCAGCTGGAGCTCTAGAGCACAGTGTGCAGGGGGTAATATTGATAATTCAGTATTGATTCGTGCATCTTAGTCATCTGTTCTGTCAGGTCCCGCTTCACTGCAATAAAATTAAAGCAAAGCTTTTTTTTGTTTGTTTTGTTTTGTTTTTTGCATCTCAGCTTTACCTAAAAGCAGTTTTTACCAGTCCATTTTCAGTAAAAGAGCACTGGACACACCAAACGCTGACATGTGTGGGAATGACACCATAATCAACGGGCTACACAATCCAAAGAAAACACTGGCTACGTATCTTATTAATGGCCCTCAAAATGTAGGACATCAAAGGAACCGACAAAATGAAAGCATTCCGCACAAGCAAAAAAAAATCTACATGGTATTTTTAAGTCAACAAAATAGTCTGAATTCATTTTTCATTTTTTTCAACTTCTCTTTATCCCTTAAAATTACACAGGCTGTTTTTGTTACAGTGCCTTTAAGACTGAGATATGTAAATGAAGTAGGATCAATAATGATAATCAATAAAACACTTCAATTAAAAATCTTTATTCTTTATTCGTTACTCATTGCAAAGCAAATTAACCATGCGTGATACTATGGCAACTACCTAGCAACCACCTGGAATACCATTGTAACCACCTAGCAACACACTAACAATCAACCTGGAATACCATAGCCACCACTTAGCAACCAACGGAGAGAGCAAGCACTTGGATACCATAGCAACCATTTAGCAACCACTGAGGATATCATGGCAACCATCTAGCAACAAACGAACAACTATTAGAGATATCATAGCAACCAGCCAACACCCTAGTGACCACATGAGATATCATAGCAACCACTTAGCAACACTCTAGCAACCACATGAGATACCAAAGCAACCACTTAACAACACAATATGAGCCACCTGGAATACCATGGTAACTGAACAGCAACATCCTAGCAACCACCTGGGATGCTAATGCAACCACCTGAACAACCACCTAGGATTCCACATAATGGCACCCTAGAAACCACATGGAATACCATAGCAAACTGATTATCAAAACCCTACCAATCACCTGTGATAATATGGCAATACCCTTGCAGCCATTTGGGATACCATAGCAACCACTTAGCAACATTACAGTAACCATGTTGGATACCATTGTGAACACCTAGCAAGATCCAGACAATTACCTGGGACACCACAGCAGCCACATAGTAACACCCTAGCAACCACATGGAATTCCAAAGCAACTGATTAGCAACACCCTAGCAACCAGCTGGGATACAATAGCAACCACTAAGCAACACTTTAGGAACTATTTGGTATACCATAGCAACCACCTAGCAACATCCCAGGAACCACCTGGAGTACCTTAGTAACCTCATAGTAACACCTTAGGGGTCATTTGGAATACCATAGCGACTTAGTAGCAACACCCAAGCAACCACCCGGGATACCATGACAACCACCTAGCAACACCCTAGCAACCACTTGCAACACCACAGCAACCTTCTGGGAAGGTAATTATGCTGCACAGTAAATCTGCATTTCCTTTCAAAAATTCAGTCTTCTAGTTACAAATGTTATTTTTTATTTATTGAAAGTAAATGAATTGAAAGTCCATATTTTGCCCATTTCCCCATCAGGCCAATTACAAGCCCATTTCCAAAAAAGTTGGGACGCTGTGCAAAATGTAAATAAAAACAAAACGCAATGATGTGCAAATCATTTAAACCCTATATTCCATTGAAAGTAGTACAAAGACAACAAATCGTGTTGAAACTACTGAAACTAAACTGAATTTTGTACTGTAAACTTGCCGTTAAGCTACACTTCTTTAGAAAAACTCTCTTGCTTCCTGTCTGTGAGTGGAAGTTGCTCTTTTCTGTTGATCTATAAGCAGCTCTAATGTAGCAGGACGCTGGTCACCTAGTGCCTTGGTGATTAAGGCTACTTCCTAAAGTCCTGTAAAAAGGTCAGCTGCTAATCTGCTCTTAGATCAGTGGGAAAGCGCTGCTGCTTCTTCACAAGCACACGTGGACAAATCTGTCCACTAGAGGGAGCTCTGTTACTGTAGATGATTTGGGAGTTCATTGAGAAGCAGCAGCTGTTTCAGTGCATAATCAAAGTGTTTGAATATAAATTGGATATTTCACAGCTGTTCCCCTGCTGTTAAAGAGAGTTCCACTGATTGATCCCACAAAATTTCTCCATGATTCAGTGGTTAAGATATATCATCCAGAGCGATTTGATGTGAAATAATTACTTGTAGAGAAACGTATCAACGCAGATTTTCTGTACAGTGGTGGTGATGAGAACCAAGGGGCACCATGTCTACAACACAAATATAGGCATTTTATTTACTATCCAGAACCACCAGTGAATCTACTGAGTCTTCTGAGTTTATACGGAATACTGATGATGGTAAAATGGTGGGAAATCTGAACTAACAAGTTTTCTTTGGGGACTATTTTGCCTCTCAACACCCTGCATGTATCCCTCCACCATGAATGGGTGTTAAAAATATGGTGAACGGTAGAACAGAACATTTCACATTAAACCAATATTAATATTAAATATGCAGAAATGTTTTAAAAAGTTGGTATCCCATTTAACATATTGGGAAAAAAGTAAACATAAACAGCAGCCACACAGTAACACCCTAGCAATCACACGGAATACCAACTGATTAGCAAAACCCT